GAATTGTGGATAATTATAGGGATGCACTGTGGATGCGATGCTACCTGGTGTGGATTTACGTCCGCACTAGTGAGTACTACGACTATCCGCAGTACTATCCTAAATAATTAGACCAATTCGTTAATTATGAGGAAAAAATGTGGTTCGGATTCCACAATAAACTGTAGGTCCCTTAGTTGCCATTAGCTGTATGGGCTATTAATTAACAGCTGTGTCTAAGGAACATGTCGGCCTTAGTCACTAACAAGACTACAAGATCGCGCCACTCATCCTACACTCATCCTTCACTCATATTTGGGTTAAAATACGCACATAGTGGCGTCCCCATCTTAAATAATTGATAATTGATAATTGATATATTGCTACGTTTAAACAGGTCAAGTAGTCAGCGAATGGTTAGGTAGTAGTTGACTAAACATACATTCCTCATCGTGAGTTAGTAGCAAGATATTGCGTGAGTCTAGAAATCCGGAAGCAAACTTTGTGGATAAAAATTCCGAAAACAGAAAAGTCGACGAACTCACAAATTTAGGCAATTTCTGCTCCAGGATTTCTGCAATTTCTGCTCCATGAACTAATTATTAAAACTTTATGGGATTGTTATGGGTTCTCTAAATATACGTTAAAATTCAATGCAGAAAAACTACTATAACATTGTAAGCTTATTATATCACTGTGACTGCAATTTTTTAAGATTTTTATTAATTCATGTTTATATCAGTAAACCTTTAGTATCCTTTAGCTCTTTGTTACGTGGTCACTTTAATTTTAAATTAAACGAGCTGTTTGGCCCGTCCTACGTACGGGAATCGAGTAGTTCATTAAAACTGCATATGATTCAGAACAGCTAGTTTACAACTTGGTGGCCGACACACTGGCTTTGAGTACAGTAGCTACATACCACCTTCCACTGCATAGGCCTACTATCACTTACCGTACCTTATTTTACCACCTTGGCTACTGAAACCTCTAAAATGACCCTGGCCTCCCGTTTTATTTTATCCCCTGCCATTTCTAAGGAAGATACCAGTCTGAAGATGTCTTTCATTACTTGGTCTTCCAAGTGGTCGTCTACCTTGTAGTACTCCTTGGAATACACTTTGAAAAGTTGAAGTATCTTCTCTCCGCCATGCAAAGCCTGCCCAGCCCATCCGAGATCAGAGCCTTTTGGAATGTACCTCTTTATCAAGTTACTGAATCATACAGTACTACTGAGATAGTTATGATATGGTATGAATCGATTTTGGTTTCTACTGACACCCTGCAGCTTACTGGTCAGTTTTCTAGAGACCTACTACACTGGCTGACATTTTCATGTGTACTGTATGCAGTACTTCAGTTCATAAGTGCTGAACTTCGTATCGCCTAAGTTATAGGTTTCCCCTAAGACAGACCGATGGAAAGAAAGTACCGTTACGTTTAATTTTCAAGATGATCTCGTTCGCATCGCTCAATCACGTCCTGGTTGAAGTTCGTTCGCTACGCTCACTCACCTTTGGGTTGGAGCTCGTTCGCTACGCTCACTCACCTTTAGGTTGGAGCTCGTTCGCTGCGCTCACTTGCCTTCAGGTTAGCTCGTTCGCTACGCTCACTCGCCTCCAAGTTGAAGTTCGTTCGCTACGCTCACTCACCTTTTGGTTGCAAATTAGCTGTTGTCATAAATGTAAAAGAAATAATAGTGCTGCACCCTGTTGGTAATCCTTGTAACTTTAATGCTATTGAACATCATAGAACAGAACCAACTTGTTTAATTGAAACAGCTGTTAAGATTCATTAATTCCATTTCTCATAAGGTTAACATGGGAAACTCCAGAGCCACTGGGGCGGAGCCCTTTTAAGAATTTCGAAACGGGAAATAGTTTACGTCCGATTTGCATACCTACAGAATTTACACACCAAATTTCATAACGATCGGTGAAGTCGTTCCGGAGGAGTTTGCAGACAAACACTGTGACACGAGAATTTTATATATTAGATATATAATAAATATTTAAGTAAATAAGTACAACTGAGCACCCTGAATATTATATTTTATAAAAAGAAGTGACATGTTTCGGACATTAGTCCATTTTCAAACTTCAAAATACATTAAACACTTAACCGTTGTTTATATTGTTTGTTTGTAAATAAATATAATTTATATACACAGATGGTTTATAGAACTAGATAGGATTTGGAAAAACTTTTTTGTTATTGATTATTTAATTTTAAAATTTGGTCAAAGATTGGGTTTCTTGAAGGAATTTGGCTATTTAAAATATGATTTGGATTTTTTTAGATTTTCTTCGTATATGAAATATTCTTCAGTTGAATCCATTCGATTTCCTTTGTTTAAAACTTTTAGAATTTTCATGTTGTTTTTTAAATTTGTGTAATTGTGGTTGGTCGATAAAAGGTGTTCAGCAAAGTTTGATTTCATGGATGTTCTGTTGTTACTCTTAAGAGCTTGAATGTGCTCTTTGAATCTAGATTTAAAAGAGCGTCCTGTCTGACCAATGTAGAAGTGTTCACAATCAGTGCAGTTAATTTTGTAAATGCCAGATTTGTCATAGATGTCTTGATGTTCTTTATTTGTATTAATGTTATTTGCTATCATATTTAATATATATATATATCTATATATAGATATATAAAAATTTGAACGTGTTTTTGGCCTCTGGGGACATCAAAATGAAAAAGTAAATCGGTCCCGGGCTTAGGTCTTACCATGAGACCTACGGTAATAGCTACTTCCCTATAGGGAAATTCGCTAAAAGATAAAGTTATGGTGCATTAATGACAGCTGTGCGCTTTCAAACTAGAGATACGATGACGATGGGTTGGCGAGCGCGTTGCGTACAGGAAAGTTAATCCCGAGCACGCGAACATTACCTAACTCATCCGAACTTGAATGGTAATGCAGATCGAGACTTGACACAGCGCCTCTGTTGAGGGACCACCCAACTACGAGAAGGTGGCCCCATCCAAAAACGACTTGGCACAAAATTACCGTAAGGTGCAATATCTATTTTGCGTAGCATATGTAATCTTTGGTTTTACCGTGCGATCTTTGGTTAATAGTATCTTCCCTGTAGAGGAAATTTGCTACAAGGCATAAGGCTCAACATTTCTTTTGAAAGCTCAGCTCGGTCAAAAATCCACTTGTCTAATTTCATAGCAACAAAAGAAAAAAATTTAGCATACCTCTTCAAAAGTAATCAAAACTTAAAATATGAATAAACAAATCTATATATATAATACGCTAAGCCGATTTTTGTAAACAGAACTCCTCCCACATTTTTGAACCGATTTTGATGATTAAAATGTCAAAACAATGGCCTTGATCTGTAGTTTTGCAAAGTGTTTTTAGTTTTTTAATACCTTTATTAGTTTGGCCAGGATCTTCCATCAAAGTTGGGTTTTCTCCCATAAGATTAACATGGGGGAATCTACATATTTAATTGAAACTTTGTCTCCACTAATTTGAGAGAACGGCTGGGCGTAGAAACTTGATAGTGGTGTCTAAAGAAAGGTCTTGGTCTCTAGATGAGTAGTTATCAAAAGATAAACGAAGTAAATTCGCTTAGGGCTCTGCCCCAGAAGCCTTTTAAGATCCCTCGGCAGCTTTGTTTACATTTTGGCCATATAATACTTCTTAATGAAACAGCTGTTGATTTTTAAATTGTGTTTTAAACAAAACACATTTATTGGGAGTTATTGAGTTGTCCAGAAGAAGTATTTGCAATGTTATTTTATGATTTTAAAATTGATTTTCTTCTGTATCATGTCATATTTTGCAATATAACGTTTCATTACGAAATCAGTGGAAATTCCTTTTATCACAGAACTCTTACAATAATATCTTATTGAACTATCTAATATCTGTTGTACGGGTTGTTGTCTGCCTTTTTCACCACTTTTGCCTATATTTTATCATATTATTCTACAGATCATCATAGGTTCATGAGATTATTGTCATACACGTTTTCAATCATTGGAAAAATAGTCGAATGTGTAATACAATACAAAATAATACAAGTGCAGAAGGGCAAGTTTTCCATTTGAGCCGTGTCCATATTTTGTTAAATTAATAGTAGTTTACAGCAACTGGATAAAACATTTTACAATCTTTATGTAGATGTAGAAATATGTGCACGATTTAGAGTGTCATTAAGCTATAACTCTGCAATTTACTACAGACTTTTCAGAGAGGTTGCTATAAAGTATTCATTCATCATAGTGAACACATAATATAGATATGTATACAAATAAGAATTTGAACTCTTAGAGAGCCTTTTAATGTTAATAGAATAACAAAATGAGTTGTACAAGTTTACTAGCGCTACTCAGCAACAAAAACCATTTAATTTATCTCTAATATATATATTCTTAAAGTGCACTGAGCAGCAGCCTAAAAAATAATATGTAACTTACCCATATAGTTACAAAATGCTTGAACTCGCATTGTAACATTTATAATTCGGCTTATATTTCTCCAGCAGATTATTTATCTGCAGAAGAAGTTTATTGTGCTCTTATCATGTCTAATAACATCCAAAGACAGAAACCTTGCCTAAAATGGTACCTATCTTGAGAAATTATATGCAGTGGCCTATATTACCGACCGTGGCCCACTGGGTTGTTAACATGATTGAAAATAACACGACATTTCGGCTATAACAAAGGCATAAAGAGTAAATACTATTTAAGCAGCTACTTAAAGTATATTCCACTAAACCAAACTTTCCTTAGATGAATTAGCATAAGCCTTGAGAGTAACCGTCGATTTCGACGGGTTTCACCTAGTCACATATTATTGCTAATTGCCAATTTCAACAGAAAAACAGCTCTCTCATCAGCAACATGATTGGAATAAAAACGAAGTGTATCACCATTGTCTCAGCCTTAATTGACTACAGTATGTGCGAGTTAGAGAGAGGATTTATTAGTCAACTTCCAGTGTTTCTGATAATAAAGTTACTTAACCTAAAAGTTAATGATCTAAATCTAATGTGTTACAGATTTCTGTTGTTGATGTCAGACGGTTTGTATAAGTCATTAGAAGAAAGTGGTGTCTCGGAAGATCAAGTGAATAAGGAGATAGCGAGACTAACTGTTAGTGAGGTAATAGTATGTTTACCAGTTATTGAGTTATTTTACCTCTTGTACAATAGTTGTGTACATTATTTTATTACTTGAAATATTTTTTTGTGAGCATGATGGGTTTTAAGTGGGCCAATGTCAGACTTTTTGAACTACAATGTTTACAAATAAATATAAATTAAAAGCAGATGTTGTTTCATAAAGACTGCAAATAAAGCATGTGTTTTATTTAGGATATTATATTATGATCCAGGGAAAAGTACAAGATAAATTATGACTCCAGAAACTACAAGTTACAAGTTACAACTTGTAACTTGTAATTTCCATAAGATTTGCATTGGGCGATCAGCTGATTTACTAATAATATTAGTTTGTACTTTATTATGAAATGGGCCCCAGGAATGGTGCCAAATCTCTTGGAAGTTTGAAATCTGGAGACAGTGTTTGGATATCTGACTTAATAAACCTGGAACGGTTGTAAAACCAGCAACTGAGCCACGATCATATATTGTCAGGACTGATACAAGAGATCTAAGAAGAAACCATTTCCATCTTCTACCATTTCCCGATGACTTGAAAAGTACACCATCACGAGACAATGTGACGGAACAAAACAACAAAGTGTCTGTACCAGAAGTCCAAAACCACGAGAGGACAACTCAAGTTACAAGACTAGACACGGGCGTGAAGTACATCCTCCAAGGAGACTCGATCTTTAAGGAGGGGGATGTTTCATAAAGACTGCAAATAAAACATGTGTTTTATTTAGGATATTATATTATGATCGGATGTAAACAAATATTATTAGTGTTATAAGTCCAGGCAACGAATGCTAAAAAAAGGGTATAGAGGGAAATGTTTGGAACACAATTTCTGACTTCGTAACTTTGTTTAGTATAGTTAGGAGGTTAACATACCAAAAGTCCCCGCCTCTAGCCCTTGTGCTGTGGGGGAGGGGGGGGCTTGAAGGTACCATTTTTCGGTTTTTTGCTAATATCTCGGAAACTATGCGTCCAAGCGAAATTATGCTAATATACAAAATTAAAGCTTATTAAATTTCCAGCAAGTTTGTAATTTACTATCTTTTGATATCTTGTATGGTTTTCGTGTTATTTGCCATCCAAAGTTTGTAAATTTGGAAAAATACATTTTTTTCTCATGTTTTTTGTTCTTTTTGACAAGTTGCCTCTCAAACTATGCACCCAAAAAATAAATGCTGGGCATAGGGTTGTGGAGAATTAAATTCCCTTCAATAATATATATAACTTTACTAGTTTACCTCTTTCCGTTCAGATTTCAAAGCAAATTAACTGTCAGTATAAAACAATTAAATTTAATTAAAATTTAAGAAAATTAAAATCTAGTGTTGAGCAAGGAATTTGAAGTCTTGCAACAGCTGTTGACTACTTAATATATTTTAATTTATCGCCTTACATTACTAATTGGTTGGAACATTCACTATCAAGTAGCCTAAGGTGAGTGATGGGCGTCTAAAAATAGCACAGATACACTATAAAAAATATATACTTGTGGGCTGCCTAACCAGCTTCCTCACACTTGATGATCTAGCTAGACTATTGTAATGGGAAAATATGGTGTTATAACCATGTTTATGCATATAAGAGTGTCTATATGACGCTGGAAACCATTCACAACCATAAAATTGAAACCAAGACAATTGACATATTTAAGTAGGAATTAACATAAAACATTACATTAGTGAGTAGCCTTAGCCTACTATTGAGTCAATTCAGCCTTGCAATCTTAGTTTGGAAAGGACTACCATCCTCATAATCGTTTTTATCCTCTTATTCTCTAAGAAAGAAGGTAAGGGAATGTGCTTTTTCTCGCACCATAACATCTTAACAAGGGTTAGATGATATTTTGAACGCGATTCTACTGGATATAACAAAAAAATCTTCAGCATTTGAGAAAAGCAAGGTTGCTTATGCAAAGTTGTATCTGAATTCCCCAGTGGCCCAAAATGCATCATCTGTCTTTCACGCCCCCTCTCCAACACCACCCAAATACAAAAGGTAGGGAAAATGTACATCTTGATTTGATATGGGCTTCAGCGAGAGAGGTATCGTGCACTTCAACTTCAATCTATACAGGTAGAAGTCAATTTGTAAATCGATGGTCTCCATCAAGCCTAATATCTCTTGTCTTCCTCCGACTGATGGTGCTTTCAAACATCGTTTCCTATCATGTACATTCCAAAAGGTTCAGCTGTGGCTGGGAAATAACCTGCCTTCTCTTATGTAAGAGTGGAAAAGAATAATAAAAACTCTGTAGTAACAGAGTACACTCAGCATGAAACTACACTGAAGGATATCCTCAAAATTGTTTTCTGCCTATGCACATAAAACTGTACTCGTGCAAAATCAGGTAGCAAAAAAGCAAGCCTAAAATAAGTATGCCAAAAATGTCAAAATGTTGTCCCTGGGAAAGATGACTAAGAATATGAAGAAAAACAGTATACCTATTTCCAAAATAGGTCCGATGGAGAAAAAAAGGATAAAAATGATGAGGATGGTAGTCCTTATTAAACTAAGATAGCAAGGGAAAGAATAGTAGGCTACTTACTGATTCAAATATGTAATTTATCTTTGTTTAAATTTAATGGTTGTGATTGGTTTCCAGTGTCATATAGACACTTTTATATGCATTAACATGGTTATAACACCATATTTTCCCATTACAATAGACTAGCTAGATCATCAAGTGTGAGGAAGCAGGTTAGGCAGCCCACAAGTATATATTTTCTATAGGGTATCTGTGCCATTTTTAGACGCCCATCACTCACCTTAGCTACTTGATAGTGAATGTTCCAACCAAATTAGTAATGTAAGGTGATAAATTAAAATATATTAAGTAGTCAACAGCTGTTGCAAGACTTCAAATTCCTTGCTCAACACTAGATTTTAATTTTCTTAAATTTTAATTAAATTTAATTTTTTTATACTGACAGTTAATTTGCTTTAAAATCTGAACGGAAGGAGGTAAACTAGTAAAGTTATATATATTATTGAAGTGAATTTAATTCTCTACAATCCTATGCCCAGCATTTATTTTTTGGGTGCATAGTTTGAGAGGCAACTTGTCAAAAAGAACAAAAAACATGAGAAAAAAATGTATTTTTCCAAATTTACAAACTTTGGATGGCAAATAACACGAAAACCATACAAGATATCAAAAGATAGTAAATTACAAACTTGCTGGAAATTTAATAAGCTTTAATTTTGTATATTAGCATAATTTCGCTTGGACGCATGGTTTCCGAGATATTAGCAAAAAACCGAAAAATGGTACCTTCAAGCCCCCCCCTCCCCCACAGCACAAGGGCTAGAGGCGGGGACTTTTGGTATGTTAACCTCCTAACTATACTAAACAAAGTTACGAAGTCAGAAATTGTGTTCCAAAAATTTCCCTCTATATCCTTTCGTTGCCTGGACACTTACAAAAGACATCTTACTAATATTATAAATGTGAAAGTTTGTGTGTTTGTTTGTTTGTTTGAAGTTCAATCACACATTAACTACTGGACGGATTGGGCTGAAATTTGGCATGATGATAGCTCACATTCCCGATTAACATATAGGCATATTCTTACCTCTAAAATCCTTTCGTGCTCCGCCCCAGTGGCTCTGCAGTTCCCCATGTCAACCTTATGAGTATTCATATTTAATTAAAAGGAATTAAATAATTTAGTCAGCTGTTTCAACTTAACAAAAAATGGTTCTATAATATGCAAAAGCATTAAAAAGTTACAAGATTTACCAACAGGGTGCAGCACTATAATTGTTTTGCATGTATGAAAACAGCTAATTTGAACTAAGCAGCAACAAAAAACTGTGATACGCAATGAGAACTGTCAAAGTAGGATTGTTTACAGTTATATTTATGCTATTAATTTCATGAAAGTTTGTGATATTTTGCGAATAGGTGAAGAGGTAGTACATCATGGCTGTAGTAAATGTGTAATACCGTATACCGTAAATTTAAAGAAGCAAATGTTATCAAACTCGCTACCCCCCATTGCATTTTGTTTTGTGCTCACCCCCATTGCAAACGCAAAGCTTGAGTATAACTGCAATAATCATTTTATACTTATATGCCAACCCCGTACGAAGGACAGGTACTCTGCTAGTGTTTAAATAAAATGTTATTAATTTAGTTCATTCCTAATTATTATTGTCACAAAAACTATCGACGGTCGTGATACAGATGTTTACTTTCACTAACTGTTGGTTTGAATAATCTAAACATTCTGTATTAGTCATGATTTGGAATAGTGCCACAATATTTCCACAGAATGCAGCACAGAAAACTATTTTACTTTTAGATCAGTCCAAGTATATTAAACCCCAATCGCAGCACACCTGTGCACTCAACAACGTTTAAATTCTCCCCTACTGTATTAATTATGTAAACATACTTACTGCCGTGGCTCCACAAATCTCAGTTGATTCTTTGCCTTGTGTACCAGCCTCTTCCACCCTTCTCTGTCTTCTGCCAAGTTGACATTTGCACCCACTGTCCTGATGTTGTTCAATACTTGGTCAGTCCATCTCAATTTTGGCCTTCCCGATGGAGGTTTACCTCCAGGTGTGGCTCTACAAACTTCAGACAGTCTTGTTCCTTTCTCTCTTCTTAGCACATGCCCTATCCAACTTGACCTTCTTCCTTTAACTATTGCAACAATATGTGGGTCGGTGTATAATGATCTTATCTCTCTATTTTTCCTTATTCTCCACATTTCTTTCTCCTGCACTGGTCCAAATATATTTCTTAGGATTTTATTTTCAAACACCATAAGTCGGTTTGGATTTTTCTTGGACAATACCCATGTTTCACTACCATATAACAGAACAGGTTGAATTATTGTCTTATATAACTGTATTTTGGTTCTGTGAGATAATACTTTAGATGAGATCAACTTCTTGCTGGCTCCCCAAAATTTATTGGCATTTGATAACTTAGTTAATATATCTTCGTCTTCTGAGTTTCTACTATTTACAGTTACTCCTAAATATTTGAAACTGTCTGTACAATTTATAGTTAAGTTCTTTATCTGTATGTTTCTGTTTCTATTGATTGCTTGTCTTCCAAAGCAATTTAAGTTATTATTTAAGTTTTTTTCTACATTTACTTGCTGTCCTATTTCGTTTGCTTCTGTGATAAGTAGGCTACTTCTGCCAAACATGCCAAGTTTTCAACTGTTTCTGACAAAATGACCACATCATCTGCAAATGCCAATATTTTTAGATCTACTCCTAGCTTATTACCCAATCCAAGTTCTTTTGTTTTCTGCAGGGCTTCTTCCAGTACTAAGTTGAATAGCATGGGAGATATGCAATCTCCTTGTCTTACACCGGTGTTGATGGAAAACTCCTCAGATAGATCTCCTTCTACTCTCATTTTGGCTTTTGAGTCTTTCATACAATTTCTGTTAGTTAAATTAATTTGTCTGGCAAACCATGATTTTTAACTTTTCCACAATCTGATTCTGTCTATGCTGTCGTATGATTTTTTGAAATATATAAATATTGCACTAACATTCTCGTTGAACTCTCAATATTTAGAAATTACTTGCTTTAGTAGAAAAATCTGCTCTATTGTGGACCTCCCTTTCATAAATCCAGTTTGTCGTTCTTCAATTAGCGTTTCTACATAGGGGTTTAGTAGGCCTATTAAGACAAGGATTTTTGAAAGTATTTTATATGTATTATTTAATAAAGAAATTCCTCTGTAGCTCTTGCAGTTTTGTTTGTCCCCCTTCTTGTGTAGAGGAATGATTGTTGCTGTTTTCCATTCAGTGGGTATCTTTTCTTTTTTCCATATAGTTGTGATTAGGTTGTGGATTTCATTTTCCAATATGCTTCCTCCACTCTTGATTACTTCTGCTGTGATCCCATCTTCCCCCGGAGCTTTGTTGCATTTTAATTCTTTGATTGCTATTTTCACCTCTTCTCACGATGGTGGGTCTATATGAGGCTGTACATGATAGAATGTTGTATCTTCATCGGGAGTATTAACCACAGTATTCTCACAGTTTAGCAGGCCATCAAAATAGTCTTTCCATATTCTTAGTGTTTTCTCTTTTTCTGTGGTAACTTTTCCTTCTTCATCCATCATGCCAAATGTTCTCGCTTTAAATCCTCCTTTAAAGAATCTTATAGTTCTATTAGCTGGCCCGACAGTTGGAACAATCTAAAGAAAAAAATATTTATGTAAAAAATACAAAATGGGGGATAACTGGTTAACAAAGCGATTTTGGAATAAGTTTTATTCTTGATTTTCTCCTTATTTTGACCCAGGAATCACTACGTAAATTATGTTTCCATCTTTTTTGAACACCCTGTATGTTTCACTCTATGTAGTTAAGTCAAATCACTTGCGACAGATTTTAATTACTTTTTGTTAAGTTCCCTGTATTTAATAATATTTTAATGCAAGACTGATGTCTTGTCTTTAGTTTCGGATGCAGGCAACGCTGATGGGTGTTGCTCAGGCTGTAGTTGACCGTGTGGTTCGTGTTCATCACGACGTCTACATGAGAGGTGTGCCTGAGGCCGGCGCAACACGCAGAGATGACATCACACTGCTTGTGCGCAACTTCAACTACCCTCTACCCAATGCAATCACTAGTCCCACACACAACGTGCGCTTCAACCCCAATCCCACCATCAAGACTATCCCACCGCTTGAAAACTCTAACTTTCAAACAGGTTTGTTTTCACTTATTTTTTTGATCAAACAAAAAATGGCAGTAAGTAAGAACCCAAGATTTGTTTAATTTACTGTGATAAGTTTTTTTCCTTTTTTCTACAAACTTGCTTGCACAGGGTGTCCACCACGCAAACCAGAAAAAATGCATGAGTAATTCCAGGTAGTTTTGGTCGTACTTTTCATACTAAACTTTCCAAAGCGTTTTTTGGCCAACTCCCACAATGCTGTTTTAGCGCTAACACAGTTCCCTATTTTGGTTGTCCTAAAAAGCATTCTCAGTATTTTCATTTCTACATTCCCTTTTGTAGATTGACCAAAGCAGCCTAAAGCTCTAAAGTTATAGGGCTTAAGCTTACAATATACTACCTCATCATGTCAGGAATATTGAATCCTTTGCTAATTTTAAAAACTGTCGTAACAAATGGTCTTCTAAAGCACCCACTTTATTCTGTTAATGAGTTTTACATTTGAGTGCTACTGATTTTATAGATTTTAAGTAACATGCATTGTTATTCAAAATTTTTTTATTTTATGATATTTATTCTCAATTGACAACTGTGATCTCTTCTGTGATATAGGCTAAGTTTTACATGTATGTTACATAAGGTCTACTGTGTTAATGTTCATGACTCTGTTACATTTTTTATTTTATAGTTTTCTTTGACAATGTCTATTGCAGAACTGTGTCTAATGACAATAAAGGATTCTTATTCTTATTCTCAGTTAAAAAAACAAAATTTATGATTACGTGATGCAATTCCATGGTCTACTTATAAGCCTCACCCTCTGTTTTTTTCTTTTTTCTTCCTTGCAAATCGTAAAGATAAATACTTAAAACAAACGGGATCAGCAATCTGACACATACTTTCTACAATTAGCCTGTCAACAACCTTTATCATGGGTAAGCGATGAGTAACTTTGATATTTAATAGGTAAAATCACAAAAGTTGCATTAACTTTTGAATAGTATTTTTACAGGAATGAAGGGATGTACTATTTTGTATAGAATTGTAAGGACCATAACAGACAAATTTAAACCAGAATCGTGTGTTTTTCCAAAAAATCAATTTTTCCTTTTTTATGGGAAAATAACATAAGTTACAATAACTTTTGAACCGTATTTTTTATAGCAATGGGTGGGGGGTTGCATTATGTTGTTTGGAATATAAGGATTATCACATAGTAATTTCAATAAAAACCGGGTTTTTTTTTAAATATGATTTTCTCTTATTTTATGAGAAAATAACATAATTTATAATAACTTTTGAACCTTAATTTATTTAGCAATAGGGGGGAGGTTGCATTATGTTGTTTGGAATATCAGGATTATCACATACTAATTTCAATCAAAACCGGGTTTTTTTGCAAATATGATTTTCCCTTATTTTATGGAAAAATAACATACCGTAATTTACAATAACTTGTGAACCCTAATGTTTACAATAATGGAAGTTCTGCCGTTTTGTTCAGAATTTTAAGGGCTACAACATACTAAATCTTTATTAAAATCGTTTTGGGCCATTTTTGAGAAAATGCGATTTTTCTGTTATTTTATGGGTGTTTATAGGAAAATCAAAATCCCTCATTAAAATGAAAAAAAAATGCCTTTAGGTATCATGGATGGACCTACACACCAAATTTCATCAAAATCAGACCACAGGTGTAGTCTGTAGCTCTGTACACATCCACATATACAGACACACACACACACAGACATCACTTCGAAAACCACAAAACGGATATATCGACTCAAAACTCAAACTCGAAAATTTTGACAAAAACAATACTTTCTCCATATAGGCCTACTATGGTTAAGGTATAGGGGGAGAAAGTAAAAGTACCGTATTAAGTATTTACGATATTAGATTCTCAATACAATTTTAAAACTTGCAGCAATGGAGCAAACAGATCATTACTAACACTAATGCAATCTTAATCTGGACTTCTACAGGTATCATGAGTACTATTTCAACAACAACCCAAGTACAATACAGTTTCATGTTAATGTTTATTAATAACAAATAAATATTGATCACTAAATGTTAGATTGATCTTATATTCATGTCATTATGTAAGTGTTTAGAAGTTAATTTGTTTTAGTGTTAGTTGCTTATAAAAAAAAGTTTTTAGAATTAAAGAGTATTAGTCACACACGAGTATTCATGCCATTATGTCAGGGTTGTAAGTCCAATTTCTTTAAGTTAAGGGCATAAAAATATCTCATAAAAACCCCACTACTGAAACTGTAAAATGTGAAACAAAACAATAATTGTTACATGTACTAAGTAAGTTATATTACTATTACAGTTTACAGTATTACCTGTATTTTTTAAACAATAACCAGGCTAGTGAAAAAGTTTTGTATTTTGGTTTTGATTCAAGATTCGGGATTATATATTATTAGTTCCGGTTTCGGTTTTGAGATAAGAAATTTTCGGTTTCGACCATCACTATTTACCAGTCCTTGCAAATGATCGAGTAAAAAAAATCTGTATTTATTTTTGTGTTATGACTGTACGCCTTAATTGGTATATCAAGGCAATCCATCCCCCCCCACAGCTGTTGCCAGCAGAGTTTAGGCACATAACTTAACAGTAGGCTACTGTTTGATTGTTTTAGGACCACTTTCCCCAAATCTAGTTTAATTTAAAATCATAACTATAAATGACCAGCGCCGTCCTTAGGGTGCGAGGCCTTACTATGGCTAAAAATAAGTTAAATTTATGGAATAAAATTAATAAAATAAAGGGCAGACTGATATGTGTGCCTAAAATATATCTGGTTTATTAGGAATGATTGAAATTATTGTATTTATTTAATAAAAACCTACAAACAAAATTTAAAACACAAAAGAATACAAAAACATCGTTTAACAGCGACAGGTGTGGGATGACGGAACCCAAGCCTCACGGCCGCCGCCCCGGTGAGTGTGAGTGAGTTGTACTTTTATGCTTTGGCGCGCCGTGGTGCCAATACCACGCAGCATCATGGCACCACCGACGAACGTGGGCCTTCCTACCTCCTCCCACCTGACAGCCATTGTAAACAAACGCACCTGAACCTGAATATTAGAGTGCCATTATTTTAGTGGCATATTTCTTACGTTAATAATAATTGTGAGTTACAAGTTTTATTTATTTGTTAGTGTTTTTCTGTCTGTTAAAAACTCATTGACAATTATAGGTAATGTTGTTTATACCTTTGAAACCTCCTTCACAGACCAACTGCCGAAAACACAATAAACCTAACTTGACAAAAAGTAAATAAACAAGATAGCCTATGAGCATTTACAAAGTGACGGGACGACAATCCACAGTGAAGTGTTCATTTTTTATTAATGATTGTAAAGAACTTTGTGGGAAATATTTATGATATCCACTTTGGAATTGGAACAATAATATGTGAAATTAGCAATAATATTCACACCCATTGTAAAAGATTCATTTTTTTTTGTCAAAGTGCTTAAAATGACGACTTTTCAAGTATAATTTTACAAAAATTTCCAGGGGAGGACCCCCTTTCCGCTGGGGGGACCCCCCGGTAGGTATTATTAAACAAGGTCTAGCAATTATGTATTGCCCCAGGCCTCGCATTTTATAAAGCCAGCTCTGTAAACGACATTTTAAAATAAAAGGACGGCTTTTCACACTTTTTTTTGTGTGCGTGTGAAGTACCAAATTTTTTAGGGGGGTAAAAACGTACTGTGATTAAATAAACACCAGAACTTACCCATTTACATGCATAATAGCCTACACCTGGTTCTGTGGGTTAGCCATAGTTAGAACTATGTGCAAAGGAACGTAGGCCTAGACTCAAATACAATCTATATAATTAATACGCTACATGAAACTTTGTCGGTTGAACTCCTCCGCCATTTCTTAACCGATTTTATCCATTGACATGCCATTGGAAAGAGTGTCGCGTAGATTTGCAAACTGGCCTTACATTTTTGAAAAAGTCCCTTGGGCTCTGCCACAGTGGCTTTGAAAGTTCCCATGTTATCCTTATGAAGAACATAATTGTTTACATTTTGATCAGCTGTATAATTGAATTGCTGTTATTTAGTTTTCAATTCAATGAAACGCATTGGGTACATTTACTGATTTTGTTGAAATAAAATATTTACTATTTAAATTTACATTCGTACATATTACAATGTAAAAAACGAGAAAGGCTGGACAATTTGATATTTTTTCCAAATAAGAAAAATGAACTGACATAGTACTGTATTTCTTGAGAAATCATTGAAAGAACCGATTTGTTAACCATGGAAACATAGCAAAATCATAGAACGCCACCAAGTAGAAGAAATAGAGATAAAAAAATACTATCGTTATCAACCTATATAATGAAGAACACCTACAGCTACAATATGAAGATTCCCACAAACAATGAACAAGGATGTTAGACGAAGTGCTACTATTTTTTGGAAACATGGACTTAACTTTATGATGATTGGCAAAGGAAACCCCTCTAACTCTGAATTAAACTGGTACGGCATGGACATTAATCATTAAATATATGTTTTCATAAAAGTCAAGGGATTTTAAAAGAATGTGACTACATCCAAGAAACCTTAACAAAACTGTTATTGAAGGATTTACATTATTCCCATTTATGGGAAACAAAAAATACCATCTGAACGACATTAGGCCTTTCAATTCTGCATTTTTTTTCTAGATAGGCCTAGCCTAAATATAATTTACGATATAACAGTAACTAGCCAAATGAATGCCAATTCATGCAAATACAATTACGACAGAGAGGTTAAGCAGAAAATAAGTTAGTAGAGTAGTTCTTAGTCATGTAAACAAAATATTATCGCCATAAAAAATTGACTGAAATTTGTAAACGTACTGGCGACAATGGGTGGTACCATGCAGCCTACATTATCATTGACGAAGATCAACACGGACAACCTATTACGGCTATAGTGGGAAACATTAAAAAACCAGATCAGCTTTTGTAAAATGATAAAATATTTACAAGAAAGGTTGATTATATGGAACTGGTTAGGTACGTAATCTATGAGTTGAGTCTTTTAAACTCATGGGAAATTATGATGACTTTTATTTGTTTTTAAATAACTATTCGAGCAACGTGTTTACTAGTAAAGTATAAATACACAAGCCCATGAATATTTATTTATAACACTCTAAATTATCAAATAAAATATCGAACCGATCAGATTATATGTAATTTCAACAGAATCAACACCATTTAAAAAATAATAAATATTTAACGCCGGCGACGACATAACCACCAAAAACTGGTGTTTATCAACAGAAGAGACGACTACTAGACCAACAGTTGAACTTTCGATCAGCTGTTAGATATAGCTAAATATATCCATCTAATTGTACACTATCTCTTAATTACTTCCAGTTTGATTTTTAAAATTTACAAGCTGCTATACCCGTGCTTTGCAACGGGAAGAAAATGTGATCTAGAGAGCTATTCAAGTGGTGCTGATGTGTGTTTTAAAATACAGCAACTCTGATTTAGTTTCCAAAAGAACATAGATCCAAAAGAACATACCTCCATACGGACACATACCTTAGCATCAATTTCTTCATATTGCTGCTTCATGAATGACATGTTTTACCATAATTCTTCAATTTTAGTCAAGCCTCTTTCCATGTAGCTTACTATATAAATTACAAAATAAAAACTTTGAGCAATACTTAAACAAAACTTATACAACCTTTCTTTAAAACCAAACATAACCCTCCTCAATCTTCAAGTAAATAAACAAACACCAATTCATTGCACTGACCAGCTGTTTCATGAACTAAATTGAATTATATCAATTGAACTTTGGAAATATGCCAGGGGTAGCCCTTTGGAAATTAGCCTGTGGGGCAGAGCCCTTAGGAAATTCGTCCATATCAATACTTTTCGGCAAATCTACACACTCTAAGCTTCATTTTGATGTGCCATATGCCTATTTTTTTTTTTTTTTGTAAATGACCTTAACCGTTTACATAAAATTTGATTGTATCACTTTAATAATATAATAGATTTTTGGCACAAACAAGGGAAGCCCTATGTTTTAGGTAATGTTGTAGAGCAAACAAACCCAAAACCTGAGGGCAAGAGTTGGCCCATTAAAAATCAAGTTATTATTGCTCTCTCCTTGTTTAACCCATATATCAACAGTTTAAATTACTCAACTGGATTTGAATCAAGTTTAACCTGAGGAATTATTTTGAGGAATGTGAATCTGAGGTTAACACGTTCGCTGCGGGTGGAGTCGGTACTGACCCACGATGATCGCAGCCCTCACGAGGCCGGGTCATTACTGACCCAAAACCCACACTGCATGTTATTTGCTATTGCTATTTGTAAGACCGAAATTTTTAAGTCAATCACCCGGCAAACAGATTCAATTGACGCTGCGCCGCCGCATCGGGTATACACCCACCATTGATGGGCCGCAGCGAACATGTTAATCTAGAGTTTGAACCAAAATCATTGCTCAACTAGAATGGGTTGGGGAAAAGCGGCCCTTGGTGTGCTGTATACCACGCAGTTCGAATCTATATATCTGCTTACCTCTATATTTCTACAACCCTACATTGCAAACGAAGTCATGTATCTTAGTTTTTGTTTAATATATTACAGTTTCAGTAGTGGCGATTTTATCAGATATTTTTGAATTTTTATGCCCTTTGTGATCTTGACTTCAAAGCGGAATAATAAAGGTTTCATTCAATGGAATCAAACCAATTGGAAAGGTTTGTTTATACAACGGAAAAACTATTAATTTATTAATTTTTAACATGTTTACACTAGTATTTTTTTAGTGTTACTGTATTCAACATTTTATCTTACACAAGGTCAGTTTAGGTATTATTTCTGTAATACTATTGTATATCATCAAATATTTTTAGTGAAAATATTAAATATTTTTTCTTACCATTGCATGGCAATGACCACATTGCCACATCTGTAAACATTGCTAAATCAGCTGATTTCACTGTTGTCATTTCTACACCAGCCACAGCCGCGAATTAGCTCATACTTTTTAACAACCGCCAAGAAAATAAAATAACCTAAATAATCAAACACAAACATAACCTAAATGACATTTTTTGTACAACTAAAAAGTTAATCCATGTGTGTCATGATAAGTTAATAGTAATGGTGGTAGGAAATATTTGTGTGTATTACCGGTATTACTCAGCTAAAGCTTTGTATAGCCATCTCTAGCGGCAATGTTGTACTTTGGGCTCTTAAATACACAAATAATAAATCTTTGGCTATTTTAAAATCTGTTGTAACCAACAGAAAATGATTGCCGAAATATTGATTTCATTTTATTTAGAGGAATGCAAAAGAAGCAACACTGATTGGTTTTCCTCTTTTAGTTATGTCAAACACCTTACCTATGAAAACAAAATTGGTTTAAATAGAACACTTTGTATAGTTTTATTTTACCATCCTGATTTCTGTGACTTTTTAAAATGATTTTTATTATTAAAACTTAAATTTTTTAATTTTGATTATTTCAAATTCTTTACAGAAACAAATCACAGCACTGGGACTGAGTACACCAACTCAACATCAACTTCGCATGGTTCTGATGAGTCCAGCATACAAAGAGTTGAGCGAATACCTGCCTATGTAGACTTTAAAGAGTTCTTCCAGAATGTTGAAGAAGCTAGACAAAAAGGCACACTACCACCAGGAATAGATTTTGGGATGTGATCCAATCTTTTACTTTATGCATAATAATAATGTTAGAATGCTTGTTAATAATTACATGTAAATTGACTTTTTATAAGTGTCATCTGATAAGTATATACTGTAACATGAAACCCTAAGGAATGTTATTTTGCAAAATAGATCTTGAAATTAAGGGTGTGCGAGTGCGATTCATGGAAAATGAGTCGGAATTCTGATTTGATTTGATGGTAATAAAAATAATGATCCGACTAATGTAGGGAGGGGCCAATTGTAGGGCATAAGTTACACTGAGACATTGCATCACCAATAGCTATGTAAGTTATTTACATCAAAGTACATTAGATTCAGAGTCATTATTAGTCATATTAACATCCAGGGATACATTATCAATGTTTGTTCTTCACCTCACTGGAACAAGTTACTACTTGGCAAATACCTCTTCTTACTCCTTTCTCGATGAGTATAAATTGCTCTTAATCTAAAAGTAAATATAAATTTTATTTTTATTTTTTAAGAACCAAAACACTTTAATATAATCTAAATTGATACATATAATCTTTAAGCACACCAACAAAGTCTTAACACGACTTCCTATACAAAACAATTTAAAAACAACTCTTAAAGCTTGTCTATAACTTATCAAGTGAGCTGAACATAGCCAATAAAGAGTTTGTATTATAGTTTGTAGGTCTGATTCCATCCTCTTATTCTATCAGTGTGAACCAATTAATTGATGAAAGTTTCAATAAAAATCTTATCAAGGTTTTTATTCGTTCACACCAAAACATGTTCAGTTGTAAAATCAATAATATGGTACAATGCTTAACAATATGATGCTGCACATAAAAATTAATTTAATTATGAAATAGGCAGGAAAGCAGGCTTACCTTTAAATAAGTCCATAGAGATACAAAACAATTTACAACACAAAGGTAGAAATTTTCGTGAACCACTGGAGAAATGGTAATGGCATTATATCGTTCCATTAAATCATAAACATGTATCCATTCAAGCCAATGGAAGAAAATATCTCAATTACTAAATCAAAAAACATTGGTCAAGATTTAACAGTGAGTCATCCCATCTGTGAACACTTATCTGAACCTAGGAGTCAAATACGTGATTATAAATATCATATTTGGATGGGTTGCAATTTGAATCTATTACACCTTGTCAGGGTTGCCAACACAGCTGAAGAGACTAAAAATTGTTTTTACTGTTGCATATGTATGAATATGTTCACTCATTATAAATAATCCACTATATTTACACTGTTCTATATTTACACATCTCAGTGGCGGATATAGAATATTTTTTTTGGAGGGGGGCCGAGATTAATTTAAGGTTAGGTTAAGTAATTTCAAGTAGACGCGCCATGACTTTATCTCAGTTTTGCTGTGGTAATTTGCACTAAATGTGACCATTACTTAATCAAGATCAAGCTGTATCATTATATCGTTCCATTAAATCATAAACATGTATCCATTCAAGCCAATGGAAGAAAATATCTCAATTACTAAATCAAAAAACATTGGTCAAGATTTAACAGTGAGTCATCCCATCTGTGAACACTTATCTGAACCTAGGAGTCAAATACGTGATTATAAATATCATATTTGGATGGGTTCTAACTCCTGTATAATTAGGAATACTATAATAAAACCTGGTATGGATCATAAACATAAATAAACAAATGACGTTGTTGGCCCGAATTCTATACTAATAGCATTATTATGTTTTGGAATTTCCGTTTAAGCAATGTTAAATAATGTTTATTTTCGGGCCAAGAAATGTTAAATTATGTTTATGATCCATACCGGTTATTTTCAAGTATTTTTGTGTATAAGTATTCTTTTGTGCAAACTGCAAAACGTTAACATTTCAGTACAACACAGGTCGAACAGATGTAAATATTAAATAACAAACAATAACAATAGCTACCACTGAACTGACTGAACTCTTCATTGGTTCATTACTCCCCTCCCCTGTCGACGGTATACATAGATGAAGATACATAGATATTATATTACTTCATCTATGGTAGATATGCTGGTTAACATTTCAGTACAACACAGGTCGAACAGATGTAAATATTAAATAACAAACAATAACAATAGCTACCACTGAACTGACTGAACTCTTCATTGGTTCATTACTCCCCTCCCCTGTCGACGGTATACATAGATGAAGATACATAGATATTATATTACTTCATCTATGGTAGATATGCTGGTCTCTAGCGGTCACTGCTGCAAGCGAAGATAGCTGGGCTGCGGGCAGGACCTCTAGTCGGTCTGAATCAACCCCAACTCCCACAAACTATCACAGTCTGCATGGTGATTACTACTTCGCGCATGTTTCATGATAAATAATTAATACTAGTGTACCGGTTGCTTGAATTCGAGCAATTGCTAAGTATTACAGGCGTTATTTTAAAACGAATAACAGTCATGATTTCTGATGACTTTAATAGATTCGACTCAAAGATTATGGAAATACTCAAGATGTACATAACAGTTTGATACAAAAGCTGATCTTGTTTTTAGTGTTTTAGTTTTTATGTCAGTAAATGTTTGTAGCACACTGTTAAATTAGCAAACTTATTGACTGTTTACAATTAACATATGTTCTTCTCCTCACTTTTAATTTCTGACAACAGCTGGAGTTTCATAACAATTTTTGTTTTCTATGTTAATCTTATGGAGAAATACGAAACTTCAAAGGGCCCCAGGGCCTCACTCTCTAATTATTTCCCTAAAAAGAAAGTTTCCTGCACAACTTCACGTTACGCTCTTTCCAATGACACCAAAAACATGTAAATCGGTTCAGTAGTTTCGGAGGAGTAATTCTCACAAAAAACCTGCTTGCGTATTAAATAAGTATACAAGAGGTTCTACCCGTGAATTCACGGGTGGACAGAAGCCACCATTAAGTTAATTTAATCAACTTTGGCTTGATATTTCATTTAAAGGGCCCAAGTTTGAGAAATCGTCATCTGAACGGATGTTAAAAGCAGTGGAACTTTCATACCTTAAGTCCTAAGGTGGCCGAGGTGGGTACGGTTGTACCTGAACTCGTCGCTCTCTATCACGACGTCTTTTATCTATTACTTATTTAATACGCAAGCAGGTATTTTGTGACAACTACTCCTCCGAAACTACTGAACCGATTGACATGTTTTTTGTGTCATTGGAAAGAGCCTAACGTGAAGTTGTGCAGGAAATAATCTTTTTAGGGAAATAATTAGAGAGTGAGTCCCTGGGGCCCTTTAAAGTTTTGTATTTCTCCATAAGATTAACATGGGAAACAAACATTGTTATGAAACTCCAGCTGTTGTCAGAAATTCGCTACATGAAACTTTTTAAACAGTAAGCCAGTGTCCCTGTTGCTCGAATTCGAGCAATTGCTAAGTATTAAAGGTGTTATTTTAAAGCGAATAATACTTATGATTTCTGATGACTTTAAAATAAGATTTGACTCAAAGATTATGGAAATACTCAAGATGTACATTACAGATCGATATAATCAACATTTCTTGTAAATATCTTATAATTTTTCAAAAACTGATATTGTTTTTTAGTGTTTTCTACAAATAGCCTACTCATAGCCGCATTAGGTTGTCCATAATAATAACGATTATAAATTAAAAAAAAACATTATTTCTATTTCTTCTCCTTGGTGGTGTTCAATGACTGTCCTATTTTTCCTTAGTTTGCAAATCGGCTATTTCAATGATTACTAAGAAATGCAGCCCAGTGTTAATTCAGTTTTCTATTTAGTATATCAATTTATCCAGGCTCTCTCGCTTTTTCCCATTGTAATATTTACGCCAACCCAAATTCAAATAGTAAATATTTCATTTCAACCAAGTCAGTAAATGTTTGTAGCAAACTGTCAAATTAGCAAACTTATTGACTGTTTACAATTAACATATGTTCTTCTTCTCACGTTTAATTTCTGACAACAGCTGGAGTTTCATTTCATTACAATGTTTGTTTGCCATGTTAATCTTATGGAGAAATAAGAAACTTTAAAGGGCCCCAGGGCCTCACTCTCTAATTATTTCCCTAAAAAGAAAGTTTCCTGCACAACTTCACGTTAAGCTCTTTCCAATGACACCAAAAACATGTCAATCGGTTCAGCAGTTTTGGAGGAGTAATTGTCACAAAAATCCTGCTTGCGTATTAAATAAGTATATAGATTATGGTACCTATTTTTTCTTCATATTCATTACTACGGAGGGGACCCAGGCCCCTGGCCCCCCCCTTACATTCGCCCCTAAAACATCTACACAGACATATATATATATATACACTAGCCTGCTATGAAAGGTGAGGAATGGGAATAACAATCTTATATTAAGGTTTGGTGGGTTTCTAGAGTGGGTGAACCATTGGTAGCTTAGTTCCCATCTTCTCAGTTCTGAGGGGTTGCAGTTTGGAGGCAGTTGTTTTATTAATTTTGAAGAGAAGCAGCTATTGAAATCAGATTCGGAGTGTGATTTAAAACCATAATGTAACTGAGGATGAAATTAGGGTACTTTCTAAAGGCCTAACGCCTAACCTTCACACCGACTCAGAAGCCTACCTCCGGATACAATACTATCTGTACGAACATCCTGATGCTCTGAATAAAGCAAACATGCTTGAAGACTGTTTAATGAAATTTAAACCTCCATCTAATTGGGACCCACCTCCACTACAACCAGATCATCCGATAGAACTATACATAAACTACATAATGCTAAGTATAACCGATCCAAATTTTACTTCCTACAGGCAGACCAATTGTGGCCAGCTGCAACTCTATAACTGAAAGAATCTCAGCCTATCTTGATTCCCATCTTCAACCTATATAGTGAAAGAACTACACTCCCATGTGAAAGATACCAATCACTTCCTAGGCAGACTTCAAAATTAGCTATATGGGCTATTAATTAACAGCTGTGTCTAAGGAATGTCGGCCTTAGTCACTAACAAGACTACAAGATCGCGCCACTCATCCTACACTCATCTCCATTAATAAAGGAGGTAGGCTTAAAATACCTACTATGTATGGTCGCCATTTCATTGAACAGTATTAGCAGTATTCCCACACCTTTGCCACCTGATGCCATTCTAGTAACTGTGGATGTAACCTGTACACCAACATACCCCACACACATGGCCTAGCAGCTTTGGAACACTTTTTATTAACGACCGTAAAACTCACTTCCATCCACTTCTTTTCTTATCAATTTGGCTAAATTTATTCTAAAGAAAAACAATTTTCAGTTTGAGGGAAAGAATTACGTCCAAACTAAAGGCACAGCAATGGGAACAAGAATGGCACCGTCATATGTCAATCTCTTCAATTTCAATTCGAAAATTTCCAACGCATTCCTTGAAAGAGGCTATCCCAAAAACCTTGTAGAAAACCAAATCCGATTAGCCCAATAAAACAACCCTCCAACAAAGAAACTGAAACCGCCGCAAAACCTAAACCTTATAACTGAATACCACTATGGCCTACAAACAATCCCTCAACTCTTTTCTAAAAGATGGATTCAAAATTCTCCAAGCTTCTCCACACACAAAGGATTTCCTGAAAACTACCCAACCACCACATTTAGCCAACCACCCAACATCAAAAAGATTCTTGTTCATCCGGATCCAATGACAGTGCAACCAGAAACAAACGG